GGCGGGGGCAGCGGGAGGGGGTGAAGCGGGGTCGTTGGCCCGGGCCGCCCCGGGGGCAGGCGGAGGGACGGGCAGAGCGGGCAGCGGGCCCGGAGGCGGGGCAGCGCCCGGCGCTTCCCGGGAAGGGCCGCTCCAAAAGCCGGCACCGGCAACGGTAACGAATCCCATCCTGGTTTGTGTGGAGCACGGGAGCACCATTCTGCAGCTCGGTTACTGGGACAGCAAGTGATGTTCCAGTTTCAGTCCCTTCTCCTCGACCAGTCAGCCAGTTGAAAGGGGGGTTGCACCCCTTACAGACTATCCCCTTTTTTACACAATCAGCATCCAATAATTCTGTTTCAGCTCTAAAGCAGAGTAAGGTCTGCTCAGAGTTTGAGATAGTATAGTGTCACGGAATCATAGAATGGTTTGAGTTGGAAGGGACCTTAAAGATCATCTAGTCCAACCCCCCTGCCATGGGCAGGGACACCTCCCACTAGACCAGGTTGCTCAAAGCCCCATCCAGTCTGGCCTTGAACACTTCCAGGGATGGGGCATCCATAGCTTCTCTGGGCAACCTGTTCCAGTGCCTCACCACCCTCACAGTAAAGAATTTCTTCCTAGTATCTAATCTAGATCTCCCCTCTTTCAGTTTAAAACACTTACCCCTTGTCCTATCGCTCCACTCCCTCATAAAGAGTCCTTCCCCATCTCTCCTGGAGGCCCCTTTTTAAGTACTGGAAAGCTGCTCTAAGGTCTCCCCAGAGCCTTCTCTTCTCCAGGCTGAACAACCCCAACTCTCTCAGCCTGTCTCCATAGGAGAGGTGCTCCAGCCCTCTGATCATCTTTCTGGCCCTCTTCTGGACCCACTCCAACATGTCCATGTGCACAAGGTCCTGTGCTGAGGACCCCAGACCTGGATGCAGTATTCCAGGTAGGGTCTCACCAGAGCAGAGGGGCAGAATCAGCTCCCTGGACCTGCTGGGCACACTTCTTTTGATGCAGCCCAGGACGTGGTTGGCCTTCTGGGCTGTGAGTGCACATTGCCAGTTCACCTTGAGCTTCTCAACCATCAACACCCTCAAGTCTTCTCCTCAGGGCTGCTTTCCAGCCATTCTCCACCCAACCTACATTTGTACTTGGGATCGCTGTGACCCAGGTGCAGGACCTTGCACTTGGCCTAAACTGAACTTCATGAGGTTTACACAGGCCCACCTCTCAAGCCTGTCCTGGTCCCTCTGGATGGCATCCCTTCCCTCCAGCATGTCCTTCTGCTTTTCTTTCTATAGTTTGTTGTTTCAGAGGCTGAATTAATTAGTCAAGTATTCCACCACTTTTCTCAAGTGCTGGTTTTTTTTAGGCACATGCATTCAACACCAATACACTTGTGCTGAATCAAGATTCTGAACTGTTACTCTAAGGGGAAGAATGTCTTCCTCTGTATCACACTACCAGCCTACCATGCCCATTAGGTTTTCTTCCTGGCTTACAGCAGAACCCTGAATGAAAAACTTACTGCAAAAATAAACACCGTTGTCACAATTAAAATCTATGCAAAAAGATAGCAAAATGCAGATTTATTACATGGCTCCATTACAAATGCATTTACTTCTTGCTCAGCTGAAAAGAAATTGGAATGCACCGTTGGCAATCTACATGATTAACACCACATTAAAAACCAGTTCAACTCAGCAATCACGAGCTACCAATTTCGGTATCTGTAGGGATTTTTTTTCTAACAAAAATATTTATTTTAAAAAGCCCCGAACCACTTGACATGTATTGTCACTGAACACCCACGCCGCAACACCGCAGTGCAGCTTTCTAACACAAAGGTAATCTGTCTTCCAGTGCTCAACAGCCCGCACGGTTACATGCACATCCTCTTCTTCCCACTGGCTATAGGGTCCTTTTCCCTTACAGCGCAGGCTGCCAGCTGCTGCGTCTATAACATTACACCTATGTACAACCACTTCACATTATCGTGTGTCCAGCACCCAGCACAAAGCAGCTGTTACCTCTGTTATGCTTGGCTTCCTCGGCGTTTATGTCAAAGAAATTCAACCATGTGATCTCACTCTTGTTTCTAGCAGATTTTAGTCTTTTCCAGTTGACCATGCCCTCATAAACATGTATTTGATAGAAACGTATCAAGAGCTGTTCAAGGAAGCACCATTCAGTGAAAGGGCAAATCAGGAATCGGGTGGGAACCTACATGTATGTAAATGCACTTACGCTCACGTGAAATGTGGAACACAAGCAGGAACCAGCAAATAAATGCAAATATATTTAAACTAAAAAAAACCCCCACCATCTAGAAATGGGCTATGCCATCACATTTAACATTCTAACAGCTACAGATTGAAATAGCAACTTCAATTTAAGAAAAAAAAAATAATCTCACATTTGCAAATTTACAGTTGCTTTAGGTTGCTTTTAAAACAAAGTGAAGGACACCAAGAGTCAATTTAATAAAAAGTTGTTACCATTTATAGTGATCATAGACAAGCTAACAATGAATCGAACTGGACCTGAACGTTCTGTTTCTGGAGTCAAGAGATTAGACATTCAGATGCTTTATCAGCCATATAAATTTAACTGTCTGCAGAAACCAAAGCTCACTAAATTTGTCTCATTCCCATTCCCTCATCCAGCTGCTGTAACTCTCTGACTCTCAAGGCAAGTACCTGCCAATTTGCTTCAATGCTGGTCTTTTAATATTCTTGGTGCAGATAACGTAGGAGAATGTTAGAGGTGTGTGGGACCAGATTACTTCAACTGAAAGCAGCAGTGAGATTTTCTTCATATGTATGAGCAGATCACCTTAGTTACCCTTTGAAGTTAGCAAAGAGGAATACCTGCTTCAAGTACATGACGCCTCACATCCTAAAGATGCTTTCTTTAGGAGATGTACCATGTTGCAGGTTACCTGTTTTTTCACCCGTGACTATACAGCTGCAGGTATCTCAAATACGAAGGAAACGAGCTCCCAGTGAATACGCCCAATATTTGTAACAAATCATTCAAAAGTATTGAAGATCTTTATTTCTGAGTGCTCATAAACACACACACAACTCACATCTCTAAAGCTTAAATCCTAACAGGGATATACATGTACATGGCATTGGTCTAAACATGAGAGAAACATACAATTTGGGAACTCCCTTGGAAGCTTTTGGTGAAAAGAGACTGTCACTCATACCAGTCATTGTGAATATTTTTCTGACTCCATTCTGTGCATTAAATCATTCTGTATTTCTCTCCTCAGAACAAGAATTTGAACACGCAATCCTTGAAGAAAAAAAAAAGTATCCACGTTTCTTAATTTCACTACAGAATCAAGCAGGAAACTTTAATCTTCTGTGATTAGCAATAGCAGAAAGGTAACAATGGGGAAAAGATCCAGCACGCTGGAAAAACTGACAATATTTATAACAACAGTTATGTACAAAACCACTTTTTCTTCCCCTTTCTCTCTTCCAGGTTGTGTGTTCTGTACTATTCCAGGAGTCAGTTATGAGGTATGAAAAAACAAGCAAAAGGTTAACATTATAACCATTTTAATAAAACTCACTGTATTATTTGCACTCTCAAAATATTTCTGAAAATGAAGTAAAAAAATATTTAGCATTCTTGAAAGTCTTAAGGAATTTATTAAAAAAGCAGTCTTGTTTGTTGCTTCTTTTGAACCCAATTCTGCCTCAACATTATGCTCAGATATAAGTGTATCCTTCTTATTACCATCATACAAGCAATCACAATGAACTTCCGTAGCACTGAAAATGATATAAAATATAAAATGAAATAAACCCTCACAAAAATATATACAGGTAGCCAGAAAACTAATCGAGAAGAAATTATGTTGTCTGTATTGAAGAGTAAACACCATTTTGAAATACCAACAAAACACCTAATTTGTTGGCATGTCTCTTCCATCTAAGACTCTTGAGTAGAAGGACAAACTAACTTTCACAGAGGAATTCCTACAACAACTTTGGTTTATAATGACCTAGAGAGAATTCATACCCCTTAAGAAATATTGGTCTAGTGGATTTCTGTAAAGCTAGTATGCCAGGCAACAGGGAAAACTATACATGTGAACTTCATGATGAGAATAATAATTTAAACTCAGTATGTCATATTCCAAATATACAAAAAAGACCTGATTATATTAAACACATTTATCTTCTGCTAGAAAGTAGCTCATCCAGCCAGATCCCAACTCTCTAACACCTCATGACTGAAGTAGCTAAGTGTTCTCTATATCTGATGAATAATAGGCTATGTCTGGAAAGCCTTAAAAGTCTGCTCTTTGTACTGAAGGCTGTATCTATTTCAGCACGTTTTAGATACAAAAGTTGGTACTGACTAAACCATGCTGGTTACCAGAAGATGACTAGCCATACTGGTGCAGCGTTCTGCTGGATCAGTACAGATACTTATCAAAGAGCATGTCTATATCCTGCAAATATATTTAAAAACTAGTTTCTGAAAATTTTGTCCAGAAACCAGAAGACATGGGAACTGCATCAATTTAATACCCTATATAAACTAATTATATTTGCAGGAGAGAAGCACTGCACTAGCACAAATGCATGCCTCTGGTACCTCAACTAAACCCAGTATGGCAACATACTATATATTGTAGGCATAGTAATTCATTCAAAGCCAAATTTGTGTACCGCAGCACACTGCCACAGCCTTGCTGGTCAAGTTTACAGTTAGTCTGGCAAGAATATAACATGAAAGCAGCTGCACTACTGGTAGTACCCAAACTAGCTTTTTCAGAGGATGCTTTGGTAGCTCTGCAGTATTGCAATGCACTCTGTAGACACATTTGGATCTTGAAACAACTGGCATTTCCGAGCAAATTTATAATGTAAAAGTAGCCTTTTGTAGGTTCAAAACATGGTATAGATGTAGATTGGTTACATGGTGGTCAGATGGCAAAGTCAGGTGACATCCTGTCCTATGGCAGGCATTCCCCTGACACTTTAAATGGTTCCACACGTAGATGAGTTGTGTATGGAGAGCATTACACAGTCTCCTAGACAATAATCATCAGGCAAATTAGGAAAGCTGCAAATACTGCAATGATCGATTTCTTCCTGGGCAAGATGGTCAGAAAGAATAAAGGAATATGAAAAGAGAGGTAAAGTTCCTCAGCTTCCACATCCAATAGCAATCCTCCAATCTTAAAAAAAACCACAACATCCACAAATCACAAAAACCCCAACAAATAAATAGACGTGACTACTTCCTGAAGCAGGAAGGTAAATATTACCACAAGACAAACAACCCTGGACAGCCAGAGTTTAGCCATGTATTAAAGCATAGCACATTTTGAAAAGTGACATGGTATCAATGTATACCATCTCTGGATCATCCCACATCAATGTGATCAGTTTATGCATTAACAGCTATGCTTGTTCAACTGCCACTTCAGCAAACACGCGAGCCACGGGAGACAAAGGTGAAGCTGACTTCTTGCCAGTTAATACGTCAACAGTCAAGGTCAGGTCCTCTGCCCAGTTACTTTTTCACAGAAATTCTCTCCTTATTCACTAACAATATAGGAGCTGAAAGGTGTAATGTCCTTAACCAGAAAGGACTGAAATGCCCGAGAACACAGGAATTGGCTCCTGTAGATGCTATACCGTATTTAGACCACTGACCTGCTGCAGGAGCTAAAGCAATTCCGACTTGTTGCCCAAGTTGTCTGTGCTAGATGAGGCTGCCTGCAAGATCAGAAACTCCAGCTGACTCCTCTGACACCTCACACGTCTTTTCCCTTTGCAGCTAGCTAAAATCTCCTTCTTTATCGAAGAGTATTTTCTTCACTCAAGCATACCTCAGCAGTACACTGGCTGACAAACATTTATGGTCAAATCCTTGTCCTCACTTACTCCTGTACAACACTTCACAGGGTGGAACCTGAAACAAGAACAAGGGCATAACCCAAATTACATGAGTAGACTGACGTGTTGGAGAGAATCCATTCTTCCACTGGCTCTGCAGGACTGGCAATAGAAGGCAGTAATAGAACCGAAGTGGACAGATATTCTTCATACTTGAAAAGATAAGGATTTAAACAGGAAATTGCACTTTTTTAAGAATCACTTTCAGAAATAAAACTGCCTTCTGATATTCATCCTGCTACTAAAAAGTCAGATGAAGATATCAGATTACAAGAGAAAGCCATGAAATTCCATCTGCACTGCTTTCATATACCTATAAAAATGTTCTAAGGGACTTTAAAAGCAGTTCAATAGTAAAAATAAAATGATCCCTCGAGCTGAAAATGTTAGGATCTGTAGGAGGGCATAATTGGACATTCAAGTGTGCGGTGCTGGTGGCGTTACTGTTTTTGAGAAATAATGACCGAATCCTTTACATGGTCAAAAGTATCCATGTATCATTAATCGTAAACAGCATGCACGGACAACCTGAAAAGAAATATCAGGCACCGCCTTTCTTTTGCAACTGCTCCAGTTTTCTTCTTAAGAGGTTGTAGTTTTCCTTGGTCCCGGGTGCCATAGGATCGAGCTTCAGAGAGACTTCATAGTGCTTCTTTGCCAAGTCGAGATTTCCCCAGCGATGATAAAGCACAGCTGGAACATCAACGAGGAATTTCATTAGCAATATTGTTGAATAACGTGCAATCTTGCCAATCACTTGGAAAACAACATTAAAGCATTTGTTTTCAGTGAGGGTCTCTCGCTGGCTGGTGGCACAGTAACTGCTTGTTCTGGTGCCAAATGCAGGAGCAAAGCCTGGGAGCAGAACTGGCATGGGAATGATGAAGGAATGAATTACATTGCAGCCATAAATGGCAGCTCTTATCTGGTGAGCTCATTGCGGGTTACAAGCATAGCATAAATGAACCAATTTGCAGACACTGAAGTGCAGCTACCTCTGGGCTGGATTGTGCAGCCCTCTTGATCTGTCATATCGTGTGACAGCTTTTCTGGTTTAGTGCCCTGTTCTTCTGGCTGGCAGTTTTTCTAGGAAGTAAAATGGAAATCTGCCCAGCAGGAAGAAGGCTCAAAAGATTGCTTTTTTCTTTTTAAACACAATGAATATGAAGCAAACAAACAATACAGCTGATAAGAGTTAGAAAGGCTCTTACCCAAATTACCGTGATAACTGGCAGCGTTCGGATTGGCTTTAATTGCCTTGAGGAACAAAGCTTCAGATTCCTGAATAATTTAGAAGAACAAGTCAACAGGACAGTCTACTCTTGTAGTATACAAAGTAATGCAATTTACCCACAATTGTAATTAAAAAAAACTCCCAAAGCATGCTGTATCTATATGATACCTGTATACATATTCTAAGCCTGAGTAATCCTGTAGCTCAGGTGGCTTATAGCCTCCAGAAAACAGCAATAATGCTACAAACAAGTGTCACACTTTCACAGGCTGCTGTCATAGCAGAGAGCTATTAAGCAGTAATGAAATTTGTGAAGTAGTGTACTTAATTCTTTTTTTTCCTAGTTGTAATATTTTCAAACATTACCTGCTGAAGTTTTCCCTACTTATTCAATCAAGTTAAGGATAATATCATTCAGTAGAATGAGAAAACTGCTTTCAAACACCTTTCCCTTTAAAATAGCTTTTAGCGTTTAAAATGGGGGCATTCCAGCAACCCCCTTTCAAACAGATCTTTCAACATGGTTCTCAAGGAAGAGTAGCTGAGTGCCTGCTACTTAAAAAAATCAAGCCGACTGAAATATTCCTCACATTTCCTCATAAGTTGTCTTTTCCATATTCCCAGTGGAATGCAACAGTGTTAGGACTGTTGATATCTGAGTCCTTCTTAGAAAAGCTGAGCTCCCTCACCAAATATTCAGAGAACAATTTACCACTGCATTTCTTCTCTAATTCAAGCAATTTTATTTTCCCAAACTAGCTGCTAATATAGATACTTTTGTTCCAGAGCATATTTCCTGCAGAAGTTTAAAAAGATACACACACACACCCCCCAATCCAAATGGAGCATATTTATTCGCTTGCATGCAAGTTTAGATATTTTAGACAGTGAATTTTACATAGATTTCTATGCTGTGCTGTGTTTTAGGGAAAGTTGCCCGTTCAGTTCCAATGCAAATGACCTGAAGATAAGATTACCTCAGTGTGGTAGGCTTCCATCTGAATGCACATACTTACTGTCTGAGGTATGTGAGAATAATAACCTGGGGAAAAGGCCTTTCCGTTGTGCTAAGCTTTTACTACTTATATCCACAAAGGACAACACAGGCTCTACTGAAAAAGAAAAAGATTTTTGGTTCCACCATCTTCTCATGTGAAGCATGAAATAAGTCTCTGTAAGGTTCCCTCCTCAGGGGACAAGAAACTTCTGATGTTAAGATTGAGTCGCTCAACTGAGTGACTTAAGAGCTTCCCAGTATGTCCAAATTCAAACCCACACTACATGCTCCTTTCACAGCATTGCTTAGCACAGCTGAGGCTTCTACTCCGAAGCCAAGAGAGCCTCATGCAGAAAGGACCTTCATCTTCTCAAGGTCAAGGAAATTATAAACGCTAGGCTTGTAATCCCTTTTGCAAGATGTCCTGTTTCAGGAAAAGAAATACTTGGATAGGAGTGAACAAGGGAAACAGATGTCTGGAAATTTAGGGAGTATATGACTCCACAGTACATTTTTTATCATTGTTGTTCCCTGGCAGAAACAGCAGCTCCAGCATTCTCATACCCAGACCATTAATGCTCCTGGATGCATTGGTGCATTTAGTGTCTTCATTAATGTTTTGGATTATGGGACTGAATGCACTTTCAAAAACTTTACAGACAGCACCCAAGAGGAGGAAGCAGTCAATACACTGGAGGGGAGAGCTGCTACTCAGAGGGACCTGGACAAGGCAGAGAAATGGACCAGCAGGAATCACAGAATGGTTGAGGATGGAATGGACTTCTGGAGTTCATCTGGTCTGATCTCCCTGCTCAAGCAGGACCACCTGCCTAGGACCATGTCTAGGCAGCATGTCCAAGGATGGACACTCCACAACCTCTCTGGGCAACCTGTGCCAGGGTTCATTCAGAGTCACAGTAAAAAAAGCATTTCTTAATGTTCACAGGCAACATCCCATGTTTTGGTTTTGTAATGTTGCTTCTTGTAATGTCACACAGCACCACTGAAAAGAGCCTGGCTCCATCTGCTTTGTACCTTCATGTATTTATATACATTGAGATCCTCCACCTGAGACTTCTCCAGAATAAACAGTCCCAGCTCTCTCAGCCTTTCCCTGCCTGTGCCAGGGTTCATTCAGAGTCACAGTAAAAAAAGCATTTCTTAATGTTCACAGGCAACATCCCATGTTTTGGTTTTGTAATGTTGCTTCTTGTAATGTCACACAGCACCACTGAAAAGAGCCTGGCTCCATCTGCTTTGTACCTTCATGTATTTATATACATTGAGATCCTCCACCTGAGACTTCTCCAGAATAAACAGTCCCAGCTCTCTCAGCCTTTCCCTGTAGGAAAGATGCTCCAGTCCCTTCATCATCTTCATGGCCCTCCACTGGACTCCCTCCAGTATGTCCACAGCAATATGGGAACTGAACACAGGACTCCAGGTGTGGCCTCACCAGCAGAAAGGAAGGACTACCTCTGTCCAGCAGAGAGCCACCAAGATGCCTGGAGCACAAGACACACAAGAAACAGCTGAAAAAACCGTATCTCTTCAGCCTTCAGAAAAGAAGATGAAGGGGAGACCTTATTGTTATCTACAAGTACCTGATCAGATGATACAGAGAAGATGGAGACAGACTCTTCTCACAAGTCTGTGAGATGGGATAAGACACAAAGAATGGAAGCTGGCATATAGGAAATTCTAATGAGATAAGAGGAAGCATTTTTTTTTTTTTTTTTTTTTTTTTTACCATAAGAGTGGTCAATCACAGGAAGATACTGTCCAGAGAGGGTTTAGAACCTTAATCTGTAGGAGTGTTCAAGATTCAACAGGATATGGCCCTGGTTTGGGTCAGGAGTTGAACTAGATGACCTTTAGATGTGCCTTCCAGTCAAAATTACTCTATTATTCTAACTCAGTCACCTGAGAAACATACTAAGACTCAAACATTTGGCAAGTCTAGTGGTGTTGCAAGATAACCTCCTCTTTTCGTACAAACATCCAAGCCTAAAAATCAACAGTGGATTGGCACTTGAAAGCATGTAGTAGTCAGAAGTCCCACAAAATTGTATTTTTTTCCACTGCAAATTTTAGTATTTTGATCTTATAAGTAAATCTCTGCTTTCTTCGCTTAAGAGCAAAGTGAAAGATGTGCTGTCCAATTCACTTTTATGCCTGAAAGTTGCCACCTACACAAAGGAGAAGCACCTAATGCATGGACTCACCCTTTCACTGCTGAAACACAATGAGACAAAATGTGCAACGCGTTCCCAGAAAATTTAATGGAATAAGATTCTCAGAGCTGGCTGCCATTACCATATATCTTCAGCTACATGCTGAAAACATTTTTATCACCACTGCTTTGCTCAGCAGCTAGTAGAAGCATGCTGGCTGATTAAAGGCTATTTAAGGTGCATCATATTCATATTACTGTAGATATATGGAGTAAATATACATTCCAGTACATCCGGTGGTATTTCAAATTGCTCTGTCTTGCCAAATCTCTGTGTTGCCAAGAAACTTGCACACTGCATACAGCAAAGGCTTTGGGTAAGTGCACCGCATTCCACCTGCTGCCAAGGCCACAGCACAAAATTGTAGTCTGGCTTTATTTCAAATACAAAAAATGCTGAGTGGTTTTGATTTTTTGTACCTTTTACAGAAAAAGCATAGATGTATACATAACAAAAATATGGCATAGATATTTTCAAATAACTAAAGATAGCTTGGTTCTTCATCCATTGCAAGAAGAACGAGCATTTAAAGGAGAACTCTAACTTGGTATAACAGATGTTAATTGAAAAACAAAACAAAACCACCAAAACAGCTCATCCTTGACATGCTTTTGCTTCTGGAACAACAGATCATTCATGAGTAGACAGAAATCATAAAGGGTTGGGTTTTTTTTGGTCACTTAGGAATACCATCTTCTGCTGAAAATCAAAGTGCATTTGAAACTGAAGGAGAATACTGTGTGCTTGGTGGAAGGAAATCTCTCATAACATAGCCAAACCATTTTGACTCAATGCCTTTTAAAATAAGAGATAACAAAAAAACCCCAAAAAACAACCAGAACAAATCTTACTTTATGGCAACAGAGCCAATACAGTAACAACTTTTATACAGTCACATAACAAGTAACCTAATAAATGAAATGCCTGAGGTTATACAATACATCAGACACAGCCAGGCAGCCCTCTAAAAATTACCTCCATCACCTTGACAGTCTCCATCCTGCTCATCCTCCCTTCCCATACTGAACACTCAATAAAAATCCTTAAAGAGCCATCCACTTCTCTCTGTTTTCACTTGGTGAGGGTGTAGACAAGAAATCTGTATTTTCCATGCTTTTTATTGTCAGTTCGCATTCTCCCACTAAAAAACCCAGTATCTCCTCTTTCCAGGTGATGCAAAATACAGCTGCTGAGATGATAACCTTTTCTAAGTGAATCCACTTTCCAATTTCCTTAATTTGCTTTTCCTGTTATAACCCGTCAATTTCAAGTTACTAGTTAAGTTTTTTGCTCTATGCAAACCGACTACTCCATATTGAAATATTAAAGCACTCACTGGCTCCCTCCCTTTTTCCCTGGGCTCTACTACTCCTTTTGCTTTATTCAAGATGCTGACTTAAGTCAGCTTCATTTTTCTCTACTATCATTTCTACTGTGTCTCCAACACATTCCCCTGCAGCATAATGACCTTTCAGGGATAGCAATCAAAATCAGTAATTCTCTTTTTTCATTTTTTAAATCCACTAAGACAGACGTGTTTCTCCTACACCTGGAAAAGTTTTCCAGCTTGTTTTCAACTTATTTTTTCTACTTATTTCACTATCAATGTTCTTTATTCTGTAATGCTGCATACTCTTCTTGATGAATAACTACACAATCCTCTATTCTTTCAAAGTCATGACTCACCAAAGTAATCCTAGCAATTACCTCCTCTATAATCTCATCCCTTATACATTCTGGATGTTAATTTGTATCCTTCTGGAACTTTGTTGAAGTCACCTAAATTATATATTTTATAACAGTCTCAGGTGGAGAGAGAATAGAAAGAGACTGTACAGCAAAAAAAACCACCAGCCAGTCTAGTGAAACAGTAATGGGGCAAGGGGTGTGTGTCTAGCAGCATCACTAACACAAAAAGCAAGTGTTGCGTTGTCACAGGCCCTGGCTTCACATGTGAACAGGTCACGACTCCACAGCTGACCAGAACTGTAGAAATTTAAGTGGACGCAGTGATTGGTGGAAAAACGTATCTACGTATCTATTCTGAGACATTTAACATCATAAAATCTTCTTACTTTGCATATACAGAAGGATGTTCCTTCAGTGCGGCTAACATTATCACTAATAAAAAGCCATTAAAATCCCCAAAAGCCATAGTTCAGTAAATGATGTTTTGTTGAGGAATCCCAAACTTCCTTGATTATTAATTTGTCCTTATCACATACATCCATCAGTGGCTATGGAGTCAATTGAAACAACTAAATACATTAACTGCGCATGATATATTTTCTATCAGCTCACACAATCCCTTTTAGAAAATTACTCATTTTCATCAGTTCCATTCCATTTACTTCTTGTCAATGTAAGTAGCTAATGCTGAGGTACCACTCACAGGCTGGTCCACTGCATCCCAGAGAAAGTTCAATACATTGCTCAATGTATGGACTTTTTCCTCATAATATTCTGGGATTTCTCAGGCATCATATCCTCAATTTGTGATTAGTATATCTGTAATACCTCTATTTTAGATAGCGTCTCAGGCAAAGAGGTTAAAATTCATAACAAGTAACGGTAAACCCTGCTTCCTTTACATAAAAAAAGCACAAGGATTACCATATCACACCTAATTTTAGTTCCTGAACCCAGGCCTCTAAATCAGAGCAAGCTGTCTCTATCAGCAGTGAAGCAATACAAGACCCTAACTGCCCTCTAGTGTGCTTAAGAGCCTATTTCTCTCCACTGACCACCGACGCACTTTAGGGCAGCAATATTCCTAACACAGGCATCTAAAATAAAGTGGGATGAACTTAGGCCAGAATCACACAGCAATACTGTGGGCAGTACAGAAATGGGCCACGAAACCTGATTATCTAAGTCATAGTTCACAATGGCCTCCTCAAACTGTTTCTACAAAACACCTACACATAGTTCACACAGGAAAATAAAAACCAAACCCAACATTCCAAAACCTCTAGTTGCTTACCTTATATTTTTGGGATTTCCCCAGTACATTTGCCAACGAAAACATAAGGGAATGATCATTAGGTATTAATCCCAGGGCCTCTCTTCCAACTGCTTCTGCTTGAGCTAGATTGCCTGGGAGCCCATGGAGCAGAAAAAGAGAAAGCATCTTTTAACACAGCTTTATTAGTTACTTTTCATGCTGCAAGCAGGCGTATTTTATGAATAGCTGATTACATGCATTTTTAAAGAAAACCAGGTATCACACACACACAAATGTAAATCCCTGCAGAGTAAGAAAATAGAAAACCACCATTTTGTTTTCAGCAGATAACACTTCCAGAAGAACAGCAAAGCACAGATTCAAAGTTCTTAAGTTTGGTCTATAATATAAACGCGCTTGCACAATGATGGTATTTCAAACAAGCATCAGAAATTCAATTTATGGGCTGGATTTCAAGTGATGCTGTAAAACTATTGAGTCAGAAGGTATTCTTATATTTTAGAGAGCATGTTGGTAGCCAAGTAAGAAGCAGACCTCCTTTCAGATAAATACAGGTAAAGCTTTCAGTTTTGCAAGACACTGAATTATTCATTGAAATATTCAAATGGGCTTATACCTGTGTTATCAAGCAATATAATCATATTGTTCCAAGCCAAACTATGCTCTGGTTTCAGAACCGTAGCATTCCTCCACGCATTCAATGCATCTATATGGCGATTCAAATCTGCATACTAAAAAGAAAGAAAAGCTCTGTAATTCCACCCAGATTTGTTTTACTTTCTTATCATGCTCTAAAGACACTAAAGAGTTGGCAATGTCTCATTCCATTCTACTAGAACTTGGTTTCATAGACAAAAATAAGAAATGTAAAAAGAATGCTAGGGTAGTATGGAAGATAGACTGTTACATACTAATTTTACACTGCTTTTCTCTGAGAGCCAACCTTGTTTTCAAATATGCATGCACCAGCAGGATGAGGAGGAAACAACATTCAATTTAGAAATCTCCACAAGAGGATGAGTAAATATTTAATAGAAATATTTCCAGTAATGTAAATAATTTTTGGCAGAGTTCTACTACCTAACAATACTAATGAATACAAAACAGTGTAATATTGAGAAATGATTAATAATATCTCTCAAACAAAAGAACACCATCTATATTTTTGTTTGTATATATTTCTGTGAAAAATTAGGACTACCAAAAGTGGTATGGAAGGAAGTATACTAGGAAAGCAATAGGAAAACTACTGAAAATATGAAATCACCCTGAACTACAAATCAAGCAAACTGGAATAACTATCAGCATTTAACAGTACAGCAGACACTGTTATAGCTCTGCTATAACAGACTACTGTGATGGCTATCATTTATTCAAAAGCACTCACCAATCGCCCTAAATTGTAGTAACAATCTGGATACTTTTTCCTGTGTTTAATTGCTGTCCAGTAGCTTTGCTCTGCCTCTTCAAATCTTCTTAAACTGTTCTGTACTATTCCTAGATTCATCCACGCAGCAGCAAAATCAGGTCTGGGCAAATTGGGGAAAAAAAACAACAAACAAACAAGGGAGAAGACAACTGAGCATTTGGAACACAAGATCCTATTGTGTTATTTCTGCTCAGTTGGTGCAAAACACTGCTTAGCATTGTTCTAAACATACTGTATTTGTACAGCTAAGGACAGCAACTCCTCTGCTTCTTGGAGCTCATTTCTTTCTTTCAGAATATTTCCAAGGTTGTTCATGGCATGTACATATTTAGGATTCAACCTAAAATTTAAAATTTAAGAGATTATTATTATTATGTATGGGACATGTATTACTAAATGCAAATTGCTAGCTCTGCAATGCTGCAGGCCATGAAAATGAATACCTAAGCATTTTCTTCATGTTAAACATGAAAGCAATTTTAGGATAGTTCACTAAAGCAGTAAAATTTCTAATACCTTACAGCTTCTCTGTAGTATTTGATTGCAGCACTTTGATTTCCTTTGTCAGCCAGGTTTTTCCCAACATTGTAGTGCACCTGAAAACACAGATGAACATTCTACCAGATGCTATACAGTCAGGTATTTTGTGGAGCCAAGCTGATAAAAGTTCTTACTCCAAATACATACAGTCAGTGCTTATGTCATTCACTGCTGGCTTTTTTTTGTAGATGGATACTTAAGATTGGACAATACACAGAATGAAGACAGCAAGACAAAATCTGAGGAATAAATGAATGAATCAGCTTACCTGTTCCAGGCATTTAAAAAAGATTATTCACTTCCCGATTTTATAAATAAGGTCACCACACTTTCCTCAAGGCTCTCTGTATTGAGACCTCCTGCTCTTCATTTAATTTATTTGTCAGATAAGAGAAAGTCTGACTCAATCAAATCCACCATAGAGGAATTAACACTACAGTAATGTAAATGTTGATTAACCTTTGCTTTCGCTACAGCCTAAACTAGAAGAACTCAACATTAACAGAAAAACTGAGCTCTGCATTTCAAAACCAAACAAAAAATGACACTCTTAGGATAAAAACACACCAAACAGCATTTCTGAAATAAAAGTTATGTGTATGGCAACATTTTGGAGACCTTGCCTGTTAAAAAGTGGAGAATGAAGGAAGGATCTAGAGCTCTGAGGTACAGCTATAGGGAAGAAGATGTATCACCTGAACTTATGGCAAGGACTAGATAGGAATAAATATATTTCAGGACAAATCTGAGTTGGAAGACATCGCAAATCCTACTTTAAGACAAATCTCAGAAGACTACATTACCTGGTCAAAGGGAAGACAAGTTTAGAAATAACAGAAAACTACTGTGAGTATTGACTCCTGAAAATAGACTTCTCAGCAACTAGATCAGAACTATTATTTAAATGCCTTACTATTTGAAATCAAATTGCTATACTTCATCTAAAACAAGCACACATTGTAATTTCTCCCATACTATGGAAATCTAATTTAAATATCATCAAAAACACTATGCAGGAATTATTCAGATAAAAGTACAAAAAGATAGGTTTGTGATGCTTTTAGATAACTCTAATTCACCTTCTACATTCAGAAAAGGCTTTTCTCTCATGTGTCCATCAAAGGAAAAAACCTAATTGTATTTGGCATAATACCTGGGACCTCTTGATCCAGCACAAACAATTATGTTTGAACCTAATCATTATGGTATTTAATTGTTGAATTCCATCTCTACATGACTGTGACTATGCAGTCTAATAAAGCCAAACAAATAAAGTTAAGAACATTTTCCATGCTTTCTAGAATGACTGAAAAAGTAGTTTCACTGGTTTTACAGACAGCAAAGATGCTATAAAGCTTACTAGGCACACACACAAGCAGCTCTTCAGGCTGTAAGATATAAAATTGCAGACAAATTCAGCATCCCATAAAAGCAGTTCCAGCACAGCTTCCAAGAAAAAAAATCCAGGCATTTCCGCTGTACATTCATAAAAATATGACAAGGCCCATGCCAAAGAAACAACAAAACATTTATATCAAGACATAGCCATTCATAAAGATCAGCTGAGAGTGTCAAAAACTCCCGCCATAATAGCATTGTTTTCCCAGAAGTTGTTAAAGTAACATGATACACCCTGAAACATGTTTCTTTGGGCTGAATTCTGTTTGTATATCTCTTCCAGAAATTTCTCAGCACACTATTGTAACATTCTTACCAAACTGGATTGCTCTGATTATATATGCTAGGGTGTACAGACTCAAAATTTATTCAGAGCAAATTAGGTTATTAAATTTTGCTGTTTCCAGATAGAAGATAAATTGTGGCAAAACAGAAGAAACAAACTCAATAAAGTATATTAGCCCTTAAAATACATGACTTCATATTTCAATATTGGCAAACAAGATTATATTAATCTGATTCAACTTCTCAACTTCTTTCTTTAAGAAGCTTTACAGAAGTCTTTTTTTTTTTTTTATGTTTTACTACAGCCATAAGCATCACTGAAAAAAGAAATTTCATTAAAGACTGGGGACAGCAAAGCATATGATAAAAAACTTAGTATACACCAGCCACTCAGTTTTTCAAAAGTCAGCTGTCTTATGTTAGGAAACAGTCAGCATTGCACTTTCTATTTTTCTTCCTTTTTAAAAACATGCATCTTCTATCTCAAAAGCACCGGCAGAATGAATATTTTTCTTATGTAAACAGAATTGCGCAGACTGCAGAAACCTGAGAGATATCAATTCTCTCAAGTCAAAACATCATATTAAATATTAAGTGTTCATGTACGTTTTGTCAACTGAACTAAAATGATGTACTACAGTCTATTAAAACTGATACCAAAACTATTTAAATAAACCACTAGCATTTTTGATGGTGTATTTCTTCTGTCCTCAGATATAACTTTGTGTGTGAAAGGAAACAACGTTTCCAGCAATACTCCTGAAAATGAAGAGTTCCTTCTTGTACATAGGTTTCCTAATTTCTCTTCAAGTGAAATTGTAGCTTTACTTCCTCTTAATATGGTGGTGACAGAAAAGGAAGAGAAGAGAAACTAAACCAAAGATACCAGAAGAACCTGTCACCCTACCATAAATATCTAATGACAAAACCAGCTCTACAATGGCTTATAATATGCAGTAACATCCTGCTCTTAAGAACAATCAGCAAAGCCTTCCAGCACATGTAGTCATCTGAGAGGTGCAGGTGGTTTTTGCCATACAGCCATGTCTCTCACTTCACTGGCCATGAGAGAGAGATGCCAAGATCAGCCTTTAGCTCTACTCCCCCAAACAAGCCTAGAAAAACTATCTGCCCTCTGCTAAGCAAAAGGCTGTAACGCTCCTTGACTTCTCCTACGATGCCCACCCGCACAACATGGGGACATAAGTACTTTCTATATACGAATGGCAGGAAAAATCTGGCCTTTAAACATTTGATGTTTTTCATTTCATCTCTACACACGTGGTTCCTTCTGCCTTTAACAGATATTGTGCATGCCAACCTGGGAGAGAGGATTTTCCTTTCCCGATTAAACATTTAAGAGCAGACATAGCATTTCGTTATTAAATGATTAAAGATAGATATTAACTGGAAATGACGTATTACATTATGCCCACATTCTCTTTATCAATCTTAAACAGGCAATTACTTTACAGTAATAGCTCTAAAAGGAGCATTTCTCAGGGATGTATAACAACACAGTATTCTCCGCAATCAGGGCAGTTAGGTAAAAATACCCTAGGGCAGAACCTAGTAGATCTCAACAGGCACGTGTTGGTTAAAGCAAACACATAAACATGGCACCATAGCCTAGAAATGAATTGGCTCTGTGTTTGCAATACCTCAATTGGTCTAAGAAGCCAGTATAAAAAAGCAAAATCACTGTACATTATTCTGTTAGACACACACAGTGCTTGAACTCTTATTTAAGTGTTTAAATATGCACACACATTTAAATGAGGAAGAGAGAGAAAAAAAATTAAATTTTCCTGTACAAAATCAAAATTACTGTCAAACTGATTTTTTTGGGTTTTTTTCCCCCTCAAAAGAATATGGGAAGATATTGAAATGTAGTAACATCTTCTAGAAGGTACACCCCCTCAGTTAGAGTGCTACTGTTATCAACTATTTTATTCTTTCTTCCTAACTGCTTATAATCACCTTTTCAGCAAATATGAACATTTGCTGTAAAGGATGGAAGCAAAGCACAGATGTCAAAATTTCTACAGAAACATGCAGATGCTTCTGTTCAATGCCAGCTTCTTTCATCAAACACTCTTCTCTTACCTCAACTACTGAATTCTGTTTTCTAAATAATAATAAAACAAAGCCTTTTTGATCTTCCCATTTTGTTTTGTGCAGCTCATGTTGTGTAAAGGTTCTTCTGCATGACTGTGCTTGTATGCAAAAAAAATGACATCTAAAATGGTATCTGTATGGTGAAACACTGCCAGTAGCCCCTATAAACATAGCCCACAGCACTTAAGGTAAATTCTGCAGAAGATAATCCCCTTTTAATACATAGCATAGGAAAGAATTCTCAATATCTAAAGCAAATGCTCTCTAGATCAGCTTCATAAATCCTGAAAGAGCAGTAAATCTTGCTCTATCACAAAGAGGTTTTACAAGACCTTTTAAGAAAGTATAGAAAGTAATCTCAGAAGCTGTTGTATGGTTTTCAGTATTAGCACAGCTTGTCTTTGACAAACATGTATCTATAATAATTACAGTTGTATAAAGCATTAAGTACAAAGTTACTATCCCTTACTATGTCAAGGCAGACTGGCTAGTAACACATTCTGTTGGCAGTTACCATAACTCCTTTGCTTATTATTGCAGAAACGTTGCTACTGAAATGGCTTTTAAAAGTTATGTTTATTAAGTTTTAGCCTTTAAAAAAAAGCCAATAGCAAGGAGAATGTATAGATTACATACAGAGTATTAACAATTTACAATAATTTAAATTCAGTTATTTCAAATCTAGAAAATAAATGAATTCAGTTATCTCAAATCTAGGGAAAAAACATATTTCCCATGTATTTAACAATGCAATTGCAAATTTTATTTAGATAATCAATTAGAAGAAGTCAGCCAGAAATAAAAACCATCGCTGTGGATTCTTAGAAACTGCCATGTCTTTGCTAAAAGCCAAGAGATACTCGGCACTTCCAACAGTAACTTATCACATGGGGAAAAAAAAGGCATTAAGATGAAATTAATTTTAAAATTAAAAGAAACAATTTGTAGTGACCTCAGAAAGTGAGGATCAATGTCTAGAAATAAAAAACAACATTAGGGCAAGGGCAAAATCTCACATAAGCTTCTGTATTCACATCTGCTCTAGACATTCAAACTTCTTTTATCATCACTGGAGAAAAACACACAGATCTAGGGTGCAGTTCTTCTGCCCTACATCAGTCATTTAGTCCAAGGTGATGATGAACCACACGCTAAAAGGGACAGCTTCTTTTCCCCAGTTATAATGGGAACATGCCTGACTAGCTCAGATACAGATGTCTAAAGCTAAGAAGATAGTAGTCTGATATGGTGAAAC